GCAATGACCCTATTGCTGTTTTTTTTGCTAGAACATATCAAGGAGGAATGAATTTGTTGGATCATCATTTTATGATCTTTTATATATGAGGCATGCTGACTGCCCAAATTTCCTTTAGATGTCCTGAAATTATGGAGATAATACACTTGCAAATGGGCTTCGCCCATTAATTGTTAGTGTGCTCATATCATTATCACAAATAAATGTATCAAATATGTTGATAAAAATTTATATGTCGACTATCTGACCGTTGGTGCAAGTTTCTGTTCACCTGGCCTATAATTTCCTACTGGTCAACTTTATATTTGCTAGCCATCACATCTGTTTGAATGCTGGTTGGTTGGCCTTGCAGATGCCGGGGTCCTTGGTCTGGTTCTTTCTCAATTTATATTTTGAGTATTTGAACTCGGCTCTATGGTTGAATTGCTTTATTTCTTTCTTTGTTCAACTTTTATCTCGGATTGGATCTCTCCACATCCGTCTTCAACTTTTATGATGGATTGGCTCCATTTAATAAACCATTTATATCCCGGAGGGTCGGTCTTTATTCTGACTTGGCTTCTTTTGTTGAAGCCTTATATTTAAGGAGTTTTGCCTCTTTGAATTGCATTGCTGGCTTTTTAATTTGGGCCCCACTTCTTTTGCGGTGCCTTTTTATTTGAACCCGGCTTCATTTGCCGTGATCTTTTAATTGGAGTTGGCTTCTCTTCTCAATCCACAGTGAGGGGAAGTATTCGCCTTTTTTTTTCGAGCCCAACTTCTCGTGCCTCGGCTCTTCTTTCAGCTTGGCTTCTTTTGCCTAAGTCTTGTATTTATCTTTAATTGGAGCTCGAAATTTTGATCGAGCTTTTTCTCGGCTCGACTTTCCACCCAAATTTTATCTAGGTGGATTTTCTTCCTTATTTGCGTGGATCTGGATCTCCTTCCCTTTTGAGGGGATCTCCACATCACCTGTTTTCTTTTTAGCAATTTGCTTGCAATAGAAAATGGGAGGAATGTAAACCGACTTGAGACTTTTTAATTTGGGTCTATTAGCCTGGTTCCAGCATGTTATTCTCACGCCTACCGAATTCTGACCCCGGTTTTGGTCATGATGCCAATTTTCCATAATTATTGAAGTCTCATCCCGGCTCTGATTACGACTTGGCCGAGATGCCTATTGAAGTCGACTTTGAAATTCAATCCAACCTTTCTTTATCCTGCATATCAATTACCATCTTTTTCTTGGGAAAATTGTTAGTGGTTACAAACAATAATATTATCTAGGTGAGTAGATTAGGTATAATATGTCGTATCTCGAAAATTGAAAGTAAAATAAAATAGAATTATCGTAAGGGAAATTATCTTCTTATCTGAATGGATCTCTCTCATTGCATGTTTGCTTATTCTTGGAATATGAGGACGTTCACTATGAGGAATCGTATTTGGGGGCTTTCTTCCTCACGTCAGATTAGGAATTTGCCAATTTAGTTGAGCTGAAATTGCTTTGTGAAGGCTTTTTCAATTCCAGTTATGCAAGCTCTATCAGGTTCCATTAGTTTAAGTCGTTGTTAGTGGGGGCTCTATTAGTGGCAGGGGCATCTGATCCCCACTATGGTTGCCGATAGCTACCGAGATGCATCAATAGATTCCTCCACCACATGATTGTTACTTAAGCAATTGGTTGTTGCCAAGATATGGCCGAGCTAGCGTTGTGATAGAATTCGGTCTTTCCCATCCGCCTGCAAGCTTGACAGTGTTGTGTCCTCTTGGGGGCTCCATTAACCCTTGCGACGGCGTTTGAGTTGGTACTGATTTCTGTGATTTATAATTTGTACTCCTCATTAATTTCTGCATTATCTGCCACCCAATATGTCGTAGATGGCCAATCGGATAACGAGCTTGATTTCTAAGTTGGTCGAGTGAGATAAGAAGCGATATGGCCAATGTAAATATATTAGCTCTGCAAATAGTGTAACAGAAATTCCACGGTAACCATATTGCAAAAGTAGTTCTCACTAATATTGGCTGCACTTTGTTAGAATTATAAGATTGAAGAAACATACCACTGTAAATAACAAATCGATTTATATAGGATATACTCCTATAAGTATAGATCATTTGCAGATACATGCATAGATCTGTTCTCATTGAATGTACTCATCATGTATTTAAAAGACATCATCATGCATCAAAACTCATCATATATTTGACAAACGTCTATCAAGTATATTGAGTCAAGGGCTTCATTATCAAGACATCATATTAGATTTGTGATAAAATTATGCCAAATCAATCATATTAATCAGATCGGCCCCAGGCTTATAGGATTGATAAAATCAATCCAATTAAAATCAATGATTCTGATAAACCATTTACCTTATTGGACAAGATCTCAAACTTCTCTTGATAATCGATGACTGATCCTTGTTGAGTCAACTTTGCTAACTGTCCTTGATAATCTTCCCATTCAGAAGGTCCGAACCGCACTTGTAGTGATTTGAGGAACACTGGCCATGATGTGATTGTTGTATTTTTCTTTAAGCCACTGGTACCATGATAATGCTTTCCCTTCGAAATAAAATGATGAAATTCGCCATCTTTGTGTATCATTCATCTCATAAAAATCAAAGATTTGTTCCACTTTGAAAATCCAATCCTGTGATCCATGGATCCGTCAAACCTGGGAACCTTGAGTCTCAAATTTTGAGTTGCTTGATGATCGTTTGCATTGATATTTCTCTGATGTGTTTCTGATACTGATGATGAAGAACCTCTTTCCTGAAAATTGTCGGAAATCACATCTAGTTTGCAAGTGAGTTCTTGAAATTTCTTGTTCATCTGCTCCTTCAACGTGTCTATCTCAGACTAAGTCTGGTCCAGACGATCATCCATGGAGCGAGCTCTAGTTTCTGGAGGCATGATTTAGATGAAAGCACCAATTGATAAGGAAGAACCTTATCTGTGAAGAACAATGGGGGAAAGGAAGAAGGAAAGAAGAGAGAACAGAAGAAGAGGATAATGAATCGATTGTATTATTACTCAATGAATGAATCTTCCTTTTACATTCAGATACCCTTTTATACTCAAGGGTCCTTACACTCTTAACCACAATGTTTATTGCATTGACTAATCGACTAACAGAAACAGAATAACAAACTAACTACCAGTAACTGAACTAACAGTAACTAATGTCCTTATTAATCATAGTTCCTCACGATAACGATGTGGGACTATCCTAGTCCTTTTGGCTCGCCTTTCTGCTATGCTGGTTGCTTGGACTCCTTCTTCTACTTCTCCTTGCTCTCCTCTCATATCACTACATGAATTAGACGAATCCAAAAAGGAGGCAGCTTTGCGAGAGACCATAGAAGAAGCAAGGGTATGAGGCATATGCTTTTCAAATTAAAAAGGGTTGCTGTCAGTCAGCATTAGAACAAGAGGATTAAACAGATGGATAAATGGAGAAGAAGCTCTTAACGGTGTTTGTAAAAGATTTAACAGAAATGCTTAATTGTTAAAATTATATAGTAAAAAGAGATTAATTGCAACAATTGAAAGTATGAGGTGGTTTCTTGAAACATGATCCTAGTATAAGGGGGTAATGTACAATTTAGCCTAATTATTAATTAATTGGGGTGAAATGTGCTCGTATTTGATATCACGTAAGACATGAAAAGACTATTACCTGTTTCACCCTGCTCAGGATTTGTTAGATGAATATCTCGAGTGAAATTGTAATTTAAAAAACTAGAGTACCGAGGAAATAACTTAGGTGTTTCATGTATGTGGGAGACGCAACTTGTATTTCATTATTTATACTGTGAGAAATTTGTAACTCTTGTATTATTGGAAGCATTGTGATATTCTTATCATCAGTGCATATAATATATATTTTTAATATAATCCAAATAATATGTTCATATATAAATTGAATGGGTGAAATTATAGTTATTTGGATACATATAAATTGGTATCCAATAACTTGTATATTAACACTAAGGTTTTCCTAAATTGAATTTAATACTATTAAGCATTACAAACTTTTAATGTAATACTTTAAACAATCAAAACACCACTCTCGTACCTATAATCTCCGACGCAACAACTATGCTTGACGCTTTCTTTATTGCATAGAAAAGATAATGTAAAGTTTCAGACAAATCTTTGGTGCATCATATGTATTTGGGAAAAATGTTTGTCATTTTAAATAACACAATTTGTGTCATTTCATTCTCACAAAGAGATGAGACCCATATTTTTATTTTTTCTTGTCCACTCTCTCATCCTTTATCTATCTCTTTCTCTCACTTAAAATGATACAACTTTACATCCTTTAAAATGATACACATTTTCTCCTATGTATTTAACTTGGTACATTTTTTTTTCACATTTGAAATTGTTTTTACTATTTTTGAATTTTAATTTTTTTTCATTATATTAAAAAAATTTCTTCTTTTAAAAAAAAATATACCGAGTTAATTGCAATTTGATGCACTAAAAAATTGTGCATAAATTTCGTTAGTCTTGACTCTTGTACCTATATAAGCCTCTCAATCCGACAACTGTCAGTATTAGCACGTTTGCAACTAAGGAACCACTGTTGCACTGTCCGGCTTATCACGATTCCGCTAGTGTGCCGAAGTACGAGGCAGACTAATACGAACTTTTTTTTTTTTTTCAAATAATTAAAACCTTCAATTCTAGAGGGAATACCTTGTTTGCTAGTCATCGTGCGTCCTTCCATATTGCCATCACATACAATTAATGTTGTTCCCTTTATTGAGGTGAATTAAACAAGTTCTAAACTTAAATCGTAAGTGAACTCAGCAACATAATGGTTATGCGTTGCCAATTGAAATACAATGAAGTTAACAAGAGTAGCAATAGCGAAAATCAAGTTCACCAAGATTTCACCCTACGCGACTCCATTAAGGTGTTCTACAATCAATTCCGAGCCAGTTATAGTAATACATGCGCACTTGGTGCTACCAGATATAAATTATTACTAAATAGGATATAAATATTTCTCACAGCAAAAAAACGAATTTCACTAACGAAGATAACCCAATCTCTACAAAGCTCCATACAATGAAAAAGGATGGAACTTTGACCAACATATACGTTAGCACTATCAGTATATATACAACCTAGGTTATACAGTTTCGCCGGTCTTGCCTCAACTCTACCCCAAATGGATCCCCAACAAAAAGATAACTAGAAATTGATGATCAAGGAGTGCTAACCTGGCAATCTCTCCAAAAATGTCAATTCGTAAGTTTAAAAGATTAGTGAAGCCTAAGTATTTAGTAAATTATACTATCGAGAAGTCATGACACCAATCCCAACTAGCTTAGGATAAATGTGCTGTTGATGTTGTTGACTATTGAGAAATCATGACGTTTTCAGGAGTCTTCGACTGTTTCTGCCTTAAAACCTCCAGAACTGAAATCATGCGGAGGTGGGTATTGGACCTGCTCAGGGAATGTGGTGGTTGTCCCAGTAAAAACCTCTTCAAACTTTTCATTCACATTCTTCTTTGTCCTCTTTGGTCTCTTCGGCTTCTGGCCCACTGGATCAGTATTTAGATAGGCATCATCCAATTCTTCATCTACAGGCATACTGCCAAATTCATTCGTCTTTTGAAAGTTCTTTGGCCTATCGGAAGCAGCTTTTCTCTGCAAATAGACATTACTGTTAACCAAACTGAAATAACATTATAATCTCGCAACACTAACCTCCATGAAAATTAGTACACCTAAAAATTCAAATTGCTAAAATGTCACCACATAAAACCAACAAAATGCTACTCATGCTGAGTCAGCATCAGTAGGTTAGTGGGGTTAGGGAGGGAATCAGATAGTTGGGAGTCACATTTCTGGCATCACACAGAAGGCTGGTAACATATAGAGGAGGATCATTTTGGGGGTATCGTGGAGAACAGAGACCTTTGGCTTGGACTTGAGAGAGAACCAGAGCCTCTTCAATTGTTCTAGCTTAGTTTGTACCTCATTTCTTTTCTGTGATTTCTTTCTTCCATCAAGACTACTTGTACTGAATCTGTTGAATCCAGTTTAGATTCAACTTGATCAATTAAGCATCTGTTATTTCCTTCTTGATTTGGGCTCTGATACTTAACAGTTTCTTTATCATGTTAATCAGTTCATATGAGATTCAAATACTTGGCACCTATACTATACTTTAAGAAGTATAATGATACCTTTTTATTACTGGACTTTGATCCCTCATGGTCCATGGAAATATCATAATCCGTAGTACCCTGGGCTACAGAGTCTGTTAGATCTTCCAGAGATGCATCACCTTCTTCATTTAATCGTATACCCTTTGTAGGTTGTTTCCTCTTTTGCTTATCCTTTACCTGGAAGGATAAATGAAGTCAACTAGAATTAGAGAAAATAGAGAAATTCACACATTGTTTGAGGATTCTGGAACTTATACTTTTCCTTATTCCATCATACAGTAGGCCATAGTGATATTCAATATATTGCAAATATGTGTTGGAATTTTTAATTCCTCTAAACCTTTTGGTGATAACTATCACCTACAAGCCAAGATCCATCATACCAAATCATAAAGAAATAAGAACAACATAAAGGTGGAGGCATACCTGTCTCCATTGCAGCGAAATATCTTTGATCTTGTCTCTTGGGGTTTGTAGTCTTCCTCAGTCAAATCACCCTAAAACCTTATTCCTTAGTGTGCCGTCTCTCTCTTGATGGGGAAGAGAAACTAGGGTTGTTCATTTGACGTATTGGGGACCATAACCCTTTATAGTGTTTTTATCTTTATTGTTGGGCCAATAAGCTCCCATTATACCTAGTTGGCCCAACACCGGTATCCACTCATTCAGCCCATACTCACTTAGGAATCTATTTGGGAATATTTAACTGATCACTTTAATTTACCCAATATATATAAATAGCACAATATAATTATTAATATAATATGTGACCCACAATAATTATTAGAAAATTATAATTTCCTAACAATCTCCCACTTGGGCCACATATTAACTTGAGATAATTATATCGTATATCTTTAGTGCGCAACTGTATGCTATTTTTCTTTAGATTCCTCCTTAGATACAATCTGGTCCACTTCCTATATCAATATGAGATCATGGCGGCTTTTGTCACTTTCAAGCGTAACTAAACCTTCCATGGTCATCGCACCAATATATTCAATGACATAGATCAAGTATGGATGCGTGGCATGGAAATTACATGCAATGTGATCTTACCATGCCTATTTCCAACTGGTCCTACTTTAACTGTATGAGATCAATCCTAAATTTTCTGCATACACAAAGCAGAAACACAAGCACAAAATATAATACATTCAGAGGGAAAATATCATTGAGTTCTTTATTCTGCACAAAACAAATATAAGAATATTTCATTTATTTATTTACATAGAACACCAACATAAAGAACTCCCACTAAACCGTAGTGTCATCGAACAAAACAACACCCATATGAGCAGTATGCTCGTGAAAGACCTTAGGCACTAAGCCTTTAGTAAGCGGATCCGCAAGCATGAAGTTCGTCCCTATGTGTTCTATGGAAATCTGACCACTCTGAACTCTTTCTTTAACAACCAGAAACTTTATATCGATGTGCTTCGATTTTGAAGAGCTTCTGTTGTTGTTGGAGTACAACACTGCTGACCTATTGTCACAATAAATCTTCAGTGGCCTTTCAACACCACTCACTATGTGTAGCCCTGTGACAAAGTTTCGCAGCCATACCCCATGGTTGGATGCCTCAAAACAAGCTACAAATTCAGCGGCCATAGTAGAGGAAGCTACGAGTGTCTGTTTAACACTCTTCCAAGAAATAGCTCCTCCAGCCAACATGTAGACATAACCTGACGTGGATCTTTTACTATCTTGGCATCCAGCAAAATCAGAGTCAGTATATCCGACGATCTCTAATTCATCTGACCTCTGATATGTAAGCATATAATCTTTAGTTCTCTTTAAATACCGCATAACCCTCTTGGCTACTTTCCAATGATCCATTCCTGGATTGCTCAAGTATCTTCCTAACACTCCCACTATAAATGCTATATCAGGGCGAGTACAAACCTAGGCATACATAAGGCTTCCTACTGCCGAAACATAAGGTACCTTTGTCATTTCTATCATCTCAAGCTTACCTTTAGGGCATTGGGCGAGACTAAACTTGTCTCCCCTAGATATGGGCGTATCTCCTGACGTACAATCCTTCATGCCAAATCTATCCAAAATCTTTTCAATGTAGGCCTTTTGTGATAACCGTAGGATACCTTGAGCGCGATCTCGAAGTATCTGTATTCCTAAGACAAAAGATGCATCACCAAGGTCCTTCATCTCAAAATCTTTAGTGAGAAGTTTTTTGGTTTAATGCAATAAGCCTATATCACTACTGGCAAGTAAGATATCATCAACATATAGTATCAGGAATATGAATTTACTCCCACTGAACTTGTGATACACACAATCTTCCACTAAGTTCACCTCAAAGCCATAGGAGATAATAACCTGATGGAATTTGTGGTACCATTGACGAGAAGCTTGCTTAAGGCCATAGATGGACTTTTTCAATTTGCAAACCATAGACTTTGAATCTCCCAGTACAAAGTTTTCTGGTTGCACCATATAAATTGTCTCATCAATGTTGCCATTGAGAAACGCTGTCTTTACGTCCATCTGATGTAGCTCCAAATCCAAATGAGCCACAAGCGCCATTATTGTCCTAAAGGAGTCCTTCGTAGAAACCGGAGAGAAAGTCTCTTTATAGTCTATGCCTTCTTTCTGAGTGAAACCTCTAGCAACTAGACGTGCCTTATATCTTTCGATGTTGCCATTTGAATCCCTTTTGGTTTTAAATATCCATTTACAACCAATGGGTTTCGCACCTTTAGGCAACTCAATAAGATCCCAAACGTCGTTGTCTTTCATAGATTGCATCTCATCTTTCATGGCATCAATCCATTTATGAGCATTAGAGCTTTCTAAGACTTGTTGGAAGTTGATTGGATCAAATCTTCCTTCAAGCTTAAAATATTTTCATGCTCTTGAAGAAACACAATATAATCATCTGGAATTGCATTTCTCCTTTCCCTAGTGGATCTCCTTAATGACACTTCTTGAGTTTGTTGAGTTTGTTCTATAGGTGGCATAGGGGGTGATTCATTATTGTCTTGACCCAAAGCAATGTCAGGGACCAAAGCCTGTTTCATAACAATGTTATGAACAGGGACCTGATCATTAATTGCTTGTTCCGTAATTGCATCTTGAATGATGACAATATTAGGAAGAGAAATATAATTTTCTTCCTCATCAAAGACAACGTTTTATCTTCCCCCCCAAACTCAACATCCTCAAGGAATCTGGCATTTCCCGTCTCCAAAATGGATCTTGTAGTGGGATTATAAAACTTAAAGCCTCGAGAGCGTTCAGCATATCCAACAAAATAGCAGCTGATTGTTCTTGAGTCCAACTTTCTTTCATTTGGCCTATAAGGCCTCGCTTCTGCTGGACAACCCCAAATGTGTAAATGCCTTATGCTAGGTTTCTTTCCATTGTCTTTAAGAGTCCGGTTTCGCCTTTCTGCAACACCATTCATGCTAGGTTTACCTGGCATTGTGTATTGCGGGACGATTCCACACTCCTTTAGGAAGATCGCAAAGGGCCCTGGACGTTGTTCACCTGATCCATCAGATCTACCATAGTATTCACCACCACGATCAGATCTAATGGCCTTAATTTTCTTGCCTAACTGAAGTTCAACTTCAGCTTTAAATTCTTTGAACACATCCAATGATTGTGACTTCTCTCTAATCAAATATAGGTATCCAAATCTTGAATAGTCGTCTATGAATGTGATAAAGTATTGTTGACCATTCCAAGAGGCTATAGGAAATGGTCCACAAATATCCGTATGAATCAATTCTAAGACGTTTGAAGCTCTGTTGGAACCTATTTTCCTTATGTTTGTCTGTT